AGGATTTGTTTTATGTGGTGCATACATACCACATAAATGTATTCTCTTATATCTAGGCCCAAATTTACCACTCACAGCTTATCAGAGTGAGCTGAGTTCATGGCGTAGATCTACATAAAGCCGTAGAACTATGGCACAGACCCTGAAAGGGTTAAGCAGTTGCTTCAAACTGATTAGAAGTTGTTTCGGTTGGTTTGGTTAGTATTGAGAGATGAAATGTTTTTTAAACATAGCCCAAAATTTGTATGAAGTCAGGGGATACTTTACTGGTTCAGGTTGTGAATTCCAGATCTTCGGGCCCTTTATGTGCACTGCATTATTACACAGTGTGAGACTGACATGAGTGATGTCGAAGAGTGCCTTGTCAATATTGTGACTGTGTTTAATGTGATGTATATATAGTAGGCACTATAATATGAGTGTATGTCTCATATATTCAGTAAGTTCAGGCTTTTGCAAAGTGGTAGGGTATGCTGTCTGGCACAGGAGCTGGTAATCATCTGCACAGGAGCTTTTTGTTGGGTTAATAAAGGTTTAAGGTGGTTGGCTGTGGTTGATCCCCATGCACAAATACCATAGGTGAGGTAGGGATATGTAAGAGAGTGGCATAGGATAAGGAGTGTCATTTGGAGTACATAGTACCATATCATGGAAAGGATGCCTACTGATTTGGAAACTGTCTTGGATATATACTGGATTATTATTATTATCACACTGGCCGATTCCCACCAAGGCAGGGTGGCCCAAAAAAGAAAAACTTTCACCATCATTCACTCCATCACTGTCTTGCCAGAAGGGTGCTTTACACTACAGTTTTTAAACTGCAACATTAATACCCCTACTTCAGAGTGCAGGCACTGTACTTCCCATCTCCAGGACTCAAGTCCGGCCTGCCGATTTCCCTGAACCCCTTCATAAATGTTACTTTGCTCACACTCCGACAGCACGTCAAGTATTAAAAACCATTTGTCTCCATTCACTCCTATCAAACACGCTCACACATGCCTGCTGGAAGTCCAAGCCCCTGGCAAACAAAACCTCCTTTACCCCCTCCCTCCAACCTTTCCTAGGCCGACCCCTACCCCGCCTTCCTTCCACTACAGACTGATACACTCTTGAAGTTATTCTGTTTCGCTCCATTCTCTCTACATGTCCGAACCACCTCAACAACCCTTCCTCAGCCCTCTGGACAACAGTTTTGGTAATCCCACACCTCCTCCTAACTTCCAAACTACGAATTCTCTGCATTATATTCACACCACACATTGCCCTCAGACATGACATCTCCACTGCCTCCAGCCTTCTCCTCGCTGCAACATTCATCACCCATGCTTCACACCCATATAAGAGCGTTGGTAAAACTATACTCTCATACATTCCCCTCTTTGCCTCCAAGGACAAAGTTCTTTGTCTCCACAGACTCCTAAGTGCACCACTCACCCTTTTCCCCTCATCAATTCTATGATTCACCTCAACTTTCATAGACCTATCCGCTGACACGTCCACTCACAAATATCTGAATACATTCACCTCCTCTATACTCTCTCCCTCCAATCTGATATCCAATCTTTCATCACCTAATCTTTTTGTTATCCTCATAACCTTACTCTTTCCTGTATTCACTTTTAATTTTCTTCTTTTGCACACCCTACCAAATTCATCCACCAATCTCTGCAACTTCTCTTCAGAATCTCCCAAGAGCACAGTGTCATCAGCAAAGAGCAACTGTGACAACTCCCACTTTATGTGTGATTCTTTATCTTTTAACTCCACGCCTTTTGCCAAGACCCTCGCATTTACTTCTCTTACAACCCCATCTATAAATATATTAAACAACCACGGTGACATCACACATCCTTGTCTAAGGCCTACTTTTACTGAGAAATAATTTCCCTCTTTCCTACATACTCTAACCTGAGCCTCACTATCCTCGTAAAAACTCTTCACTGCTTTCAGTAACCTACCTCCTACACCATACACCTGCAACATCTGCCACATTACCCCCCTATCCACCCTGTCATACGCCTTTTCCAAATCCATAAATGCCACAAAGGATGTGGGAATGAAATTTAAGATTATAGTCAAGGTGAAGACCTAGAAATTTGCCCTCAGTGTGTCTTGTAATGAGGGAACCATTTATCGCTTACACTACAATTATAAAACTGTAACATTAACACCCCTCCTTCAGAGTGTAGACACTGTACTTCCCATCTACAGGACACAAGTCTGGCCTACCGGTTTCCCTGAATCCCTTCATAAGTGTTACCTTGCTCACACTCCAACAGCATGTCAAGTCCTAAAAATCATTTGTCTCCATTCGCTCCTACATAACACGCTCACACATGCTTGCTGGAAGTCCAAGCCCCTCACACACAAAACCTCCTTTACCCCCTCCCTCCAACCTCTCATAAGCCGACCCCTAAACTGCCTTCCCTCCACTACAGATTTATACACTCTCGATGTCATTCTATTTCCTTCCATCCTCTCTATATGTCCGAACCACCTCAACAACCCCACCTCAGCCCTCTGCATAATAGTTTTGGTAATCCTGCGCTTCCTTCTAATTTCCAAACTACGAATTCTCTGCATTATATTCACACCGCACACTGCTCTCAGACATGACATCTCCAATGCCTCCAGCTTTCTCCTTGTTGCAACATTCACCACCCATGTTTCACACCCATATATGAGCATTGGTATAACTATACTCACATACATTCCCTTCCTAAGTGCACCACTCACCTTTTTCCCCCCTCATCAATTCTATGATTCACCTCATCTTTCATAGACCCATTTGCTGACACGTCCACTCCTAAATATCTAAATACATTCACTTCCTCCATACTCTCTCCCTCCAATCTGATATCCCATCTTTTGTCGCCTAATTTTTTTATCCTCATCACCTTACTCTTTCCTGTATTCACTTTTAATTTTCTTCTCTTACATACCTTACCAAACTCATCCACCAACCTCTGCAAATTCTCTTCAGAATCTCCCAAATGCACAGTGTCATCAGCAAAGAGCAACTGTGACAATTCTAACTTTGTGTTAGATTCTTTATCTTTTAACCCCACACCTCTTGCCAACACCTGAGCATTCACTTCTCTTACAACCCCATCTATAAATATATTGAACAACCATAGTGACATCACACATCCTTTTCCAAGGCCTACTTTTACTGGGAAATAACTCCCTCTATCCTACATACTCCAACCTAAGCCTCACTATCCTCAAAAATCTCTTCACTGTTTTCAATAACTTACCTCCTATTCCATACATTTGCAACACCTGCCACATTGCACCCCTATCCACCCTGTCATACACCTTCTCTAAATCCATAAATGCCACAAAAACCTCTTTACCCTTATCTAAATACTGTGATGTGAGAATGAAATTTAAGATTACAGACAAGGTGAAGACCTAAAAGGGGGTTTTGAGTATTAGGGGCTTGAACAGCCAACAGATTCGAGTAAGCCTGTTAGACAGGAGAGGAGACAAGTGGTTTTTATGATTTAACTTGCTCTTGGAGTGTGAGCTAGGTAACATTTATAAAGCAATTCAGGAAAACTGGTCAGCCAAACTTGAGTCTAGAAGTGGGAAGACAGTGCCAGCACTATGAAGGATTGCTAGGGATGTTGCAGTTTGTCATGTCATATGAACTATGATGTCGGTGCTCGTCTGGCAACACAGTGACTGAATGAGTGACAGCAAAATGTTTTCTTTTTTGTTGGGTCATCCTACCATGATAAGAGATAGCCAGTATTAAAAATTAAATTCTATGGCTCATCTCATCTTTTATAGGCCTATCTCTCAACATATCCCCCATACTTCCTCCTTCCAATCTGATATCCAGTACTTCATAGCCTAAACGTTTTGCTAGTCTTACTGTCTTGCCTCTTCTATGTTCACTTCAAATTTCCTTTATTTATAACCCTGTCAATCTCCTATAACAATCTTTGGAATTACTCGTTGGAATCTTCCCAGAGAATATGTCATCTAAAAGTAACTTTGACAATTCCCAATATTCTTCTTTCTTTCAACAAACCAGCCACATCCCACTGAGGCAGAGTGACCCAAAAAGAAAAACAGAAGTTTCTCTTTAACTTTAGTAATGTATACAGAAGAAAGGGTTACTAGCCCATTGCTCCCAATTCCCAATATATATCAGCTAAATTTAGTCTATGAACACACTACCCTTGCTAAATCCTCCTTGTTCTTTTGCAATCCTACTACAGTGGAACCTCAAATATTGAACTTTCTTCGATCCCGATGGCTGTTCGAGTGCCGTTACCGAACGAATTTATTCCCATCAGGAATAATGTAAATTTGATTAGTTCATTTCAGACCCTCAAAAATACACTTATAAAAGCACTTACAAAAATACACCTACATAATTGGTTGAGTTGGGAGCAGTTTGATATTTGAAGTTCCACTGTATGTCTTTTACCTAATTCTTTCAATAATAATTCTTCTGTACACTTTACCTGCTATACTCAACAGGCTTACTTCCCTATAATATTTATACTGCTTTGTCGCCATTTTCCTATATGAAGAAACTATGCACACACTATGCGAGGCCTTAGAAACCTTTCCATCTTTTGTGCACATATACTGAACATTTCTGGCAAGACAGCAACTGAGTGTATGACTGTGAATGTGTTCCTATTTTTGTTTTAGGTCATCCCACTGCTGTTAGAGAAAGCTGGTGTGTTAAAAACTATAAAACCAAGATACCAACCACTCCAAAAACACATCTTCACCTGTTTGTAGCATCTCGATCTTAATCCCGTCTGCCCTGGCTGCTTTACCTCATTTTATTAAAATAAAGAATACAAAGGCACACTACTGTGACCAGAACAATACACAAATAACACGCACACAGAAGAATGAAACTTATGACGATGTTTTGGTCCAATCTGCACCATTAACTAGTCGCTAGTTAATGGTTAAAGTTGGATTGAAACGACATCATAAGTTTCATTCTCCTGTGTGCGGGTTATCTATGTTTTATTAAAATATTTCCCTGGGATTAATACATACCTGGATGACAGATTGTTATGAGCTCTGTTCTTAAGAAAGAATACTTTCTCCGCAGTAGGATTGGGCCAGGAGAGAACCCCCTTCTTGTCTACACAGCACAGATTCTGCAGGAGGAAACAACATTATTATTAATGACTATGAAAAATGTGCAGCAGTTGGGAATCTTTATTGTTGCAAGGTTTTACCTAAAAGGAAGGCTTCATCAGTCAAATACAGAGGAGAACGTATTGCAAACAGCAAGAGTAATTGCAAGGCAAAGATGATGTAATCATTCCATCAACCTTGAAGAAATAGTTTGAGGTGGTCAGTCCCTCAGCTCCATGAAGCAGAACTCTTGTCTGGGCCTAACAGATGACCAATCAGTAACTGATTTCTTCAACAATATGAACAACATACTTCTCATTCCAGCTACAGTGGTACCATGACTTACAAGTGCCCCAACTTACAAGTTTTCCGAGTTACAAGCCGTCGCTTGGTCGATTTTTTTGTTTTGAGTTGCAAGCCAAAATTCAAGTTATGAGCAAGCTTCAGATACGCCACTACTAGTTGGCGCAGCGAATGCCACAACATCTGCCCAGCATCCCAGCGTTTTGTGCTTTTTGTGCAGTTATTTTGCCAAATTTCTTTTTTCTCACCATGGGTCCTAAGAAAGTAAGTGCAAAGGACAGTGCTGAGAAGAAGAGGATGATGTCCATTAAATTAAAGCATGAAATCATAGAAAAACTTGAGAAAGTAACTTTTGTTTCATTGTTTTCCTTATGAAACTAGTGATCTAGTGCAGTTGACCTCACAAACACTCTGTTTTCTCTTATAGTAAAACCTCAGAAGGGCAAGAATGGGAAGATATGGTGAGATATGGTGAGAGCAATAATTATTTTTTACCTTGGGAGTGGTCACCACCACTAGTCACATAATCACATATTTTACTCATTCTAGAGTATGTATCATGTTTCTATTTTATTTATACTATTTATTAAGTCATTTTAGATCAATTGTGATAGATAAGTAAGCCGTAGAGTTGATATTAGCGTTACATTGAAGTACTGTCTCCTGCCTCCTGAGAGACAGGAATTCTGCTAGAATAGATTAATGGCATTTCAGTTAATTTCATTGAGGAAAATTAATTTGATATATGAGCAAACTGAGTGACAAGCTCGGTCACAGAACAAATTAAACTCATTAGTCAAGGTACCACTGTATAACTAAACCAACCAGGCTAACTGAAACAAGTGCAACCATAACTGACTGTATATGAACTAATATATTAGCCCCCCTTAAATTGGGGATAATCACAGACAGCACTACTGACTACTACCCTGCCTTCCCTTTAACAAACATTAGTAAACAACCAGTGGACTACAATAAGGTCTCTTTTAGACTCCATGACGAGGCCTCAATATGTAACTTCACAGCAGAGCTAGGTACCGATGACTGGCCTACAGAATTCTCCAATGACAATGACTGGATAGACATATTTCTTAACAAATTATTTACACTATACAGTGGACCCCCGCTTAACGATCACCTCCAAATGCGACCAATTATGTAAGTGTATTTATGTAAGTGCATTTGTACATGTATGTTTGGGGGTCTGAAATGGACTAATCTACTTCACAATATTCCTTATGGGAAAAAATTCGGTCAGTACTGGCACCTGAACATACTACTGGAATGAAAAAAGTTCGTTAACCGGGGGTCCACTGTATAACAAAAATTGTCTCATAAAAACGAAACAGATTACGAAAAAACAGCTAGGTTGCCCATGGCTAACTAATTGACAAGAAACATCAATATGAAAAGCAATATAGATAGGGCTTAACTCTTTCAGGGTCGCCAGGCCCTCTCAGAGACTTGTTCTCAGGGTCGTCAAATTTTCAAAAAAAAAAATTATTTTTTCTTATGAAAAGATAGAGAATCTTTTCCCAATCATAATGACACCAAAAGTATGAAATTTGATGGAAAACTTACGGAATTATGCTCTCGCGAAGTTAGTGGTCTCGACGATGTTTACGCATTGGCGATTTTGCCCACTTTGAGCCCTATTTTTGGCCAATTCCAGCGTACTAGTCAACAAAAATCATAACTATTTTGCTAGAACTTAATTTTTTCTATCGCATGAGTACAAGAAACCACCCATTTACCGATTTCAACTATCCAATAAAGTCGTCAGAATTTAGCAATTTTGCCAATTTCACACTAATTTCAAAAGATGCAAATTTCCAAATAGGGTCCAGAATAAACAAGAAAGACATTCCTGGCACTAAAATAACATTTCCTCTGTTCATTAGTCACGTCCCCACGCCCCTCTTACATTCTTTTGCTTTTCACTTTGAATTTTTATTCTCACAAAAAATAAAAGATTTACTGTTATGCAGACTACTGCATTAGTGTAGAAATGGTATAAATAATATCGGCGCACTTGTGAAAGAATATTAGACTCACCAGTTGACATGTATTGGATGCGTTGCATGATTTGTTTACTTTTGAACTTCGGCAAAAATCGAAGATTTCTGCTACTTTGAGCTCAATTTCAAGGTACTTTTTATTGTACAACCAATCAAAATCATCTCAATTTCTGTAATATGTTTTCCTTTCTATAAAATGAGACCAGGAAAACTAGAATACCATCATAAATACCATACGAAAATACAGTGCAAAGTCGCTGTTTTAAACCAAAAACACTGTCAATGTTTTTTTTTACTCATTATGCACTGTGTGCTGCAGGATTTTTTTTATACTGCAAACACTGACCACATAGACCCATTCTTTCATATGTAGGCCTACCAGCTTTCTCTCACTAGATTTGAGGGCAATAGAATTTAGGCGTACTAGTACGTCAAAAACCCTGGTGCGTAAGCCGTATTAGTACGTCCGAAACCCTGAAAGGGTTAATAAACAAAAGTATTATTAAACACTATGCATCAGTCCTTGCCAAACTAATAAGAAAGGCCAAGCAATTGTACTATTCCAATAGATTCACCGAAACGAGAGGAGATATAAAAACGACCTGGAAGACACTCTGATACTGGGCACCCACAAACTGAAAAAAATTAAAGATATTGTCCTAACTAAACCAAAAGAAGCCCAACTACAGCCTACTGATACAGTTAACAAGATAAATGACTTTTTCTCAACCATAGGATCAAATCTCGCCAGTAAAATCCGAGGTACCAATGCCTGAGCAAGTGATTACTTAGATGAGAATTTCCCATCCTCCTCCTGTCTTGCACCAACCGAGCCCACTGAAGTCACCATGATTATTATGTCACTTGAAAATAAATCAGAGAATCTGACTCAAGTCCCACTATTACTGTACAAACGAGCAGCTCATGTCCTTTCGCCTGCTATTTCATTACTTTTCAACAAATCACTAGGCACTAGCACTTTCCCAACACTACTCAAGACAGTAAGGGTTACACCAATACACAAAGGTGGTGACCCCAAAGATGTAAACAACTACAGGCCAATATTAAACTTACCGCTGCCATCGTGCGCAAGACATTACAGTGGACCCCCGGTATTCGATATTAATCCGTTCCTGAGAGCTCATCAAATACCAAAAATATCGAAAAGCGAATCAATTTTCCCCATAAGAAATAATGGAAATCAAATTAATCCGTGCAAGACACCCAAAAGTATGAAAAAAAAAAAAATTTTACCACATGAAATATTAATTTTAATACACACAAACTGAAGAAGACATGCACAGTTACATGACACTTACCTTTATTGAAGATCTGGTGATGATTGATGGGATGGGAGGAGGGGAGTGTTGATGGTCTTAGTGTTTAGAAGGGGAATCCCCTTTCATTAGGACTTGAGGTATCAAGTCCTTTTCTGGGGTTACTTCCCTTCTTCTTTTAATGCCACTAGGACCAGCTTGAGAGTCACTGGACCTCTGTCGCACAACAAATCTGTCCATAGAGCTCTGTACCTCCCGTTCCTTTACAATTTGTCTAAAATGGGCCACAACATTGTCATTGTAATAGTCACCAGCACAGCTTGCAATAGCCGTGTTAGGGTGATTTTCATCCATAAAGGTTCGCAGTTCAACCCACTGTGCACACATTTTCTTAATTTTTTAAGTAGGCACAATGGATTCCACAACTGGCATAGGCTTCTCAGGGTTAGCCCCAAACCCTTCAAAATCTTTCTTAATATCCATACTAATTCTCGCCCTTTTTACCACAGGGTTGGCACTAGAAGCTTTCTTGAGGCCCATGGTGACTTATTTTGCAGAAACAAGCACCAAAAACAGTGATAATATGGAATGTACCGAATGTATCCTTAGATGCGCGCACACTGGCTGGCTTGTAAACACTGGCACACACAGGGCAGTTCAGGCCACACGTGGACATGTCTCGTATGAATCGTATCGAATACCGGGTTTTCAATCGGATACCGAGGCAAAATTTTTGTGTTAAAATGCATCGAATACAGGATTTATCGAATACCGATGCCATCGAATACCGGGGTTCCACTGTATATTCATTTATAACAGCACAAAGCATCCTCAACCCCTGCCAATTTGGCTTCAGGAAAAGTAAAAGCACAAACGACGCAACTGTAAAAACGCTAGACCTGCTTTACACAGCACTCGAAAAAATTAATATCCATTAGGACTCTTTATTGACCTAAGGAAAGCTTTTGATACAGTAGACCATGGCATCCTACTCCACGAACTTGATCATTATGGTATAAGAAGCCACGCACTTACATATTTCAAATCCTACCTTACTAACAGGTACCAATTGATCTCTATTAAGGACACAACTTCATCAACAAGACCACTGGATACTGGAGTGCCACAGTGAAGTGTCCTTGGTCCCCTGCTCTTCCTCCTATACATCAACGATCTTCCTAATGTATCACAACACCTGAAACCTATTCTCTTTGCTGACAACGTGACTTTTGTCATCTCCCACCCTAATCTTGCCTCACTCAACACCACTGCTAATGAAGAGCTACTAAAAATACCAACCTGGATGACTGTTAATAAACTTACACTTAATACTGACAAATATTATTATTTTTATTATCACACTGGCCGATTCCCACCATGGCAGGGTGGCCCGAAAAAGAAAAACTTTCACCATCATTCACT